CTAACAAACTCTTTTAATATCTCCTTGAAAAAAAATCTCCAATTGTGTGGTAGCCTCTGAACCTAAAACCCTAGGATCGAATATAGGAGAGATAAGAGAGAATAAAATCTGATTTCTTAAGGTATGAAAGGATATGAATGAATTTGGCTAGGAGACACCCCTATTTATACTTTCCAAATAACCTAGAAACCCTAAATTTGAATAATAAAATTATAGTATTTTATCTCTATTCAAATTACATTTCCTTATCTGAGTTAGAGGCTTCCAGAAACCCTAAAGAAGGGCTCCAAAACCGTCCACTCTCAGGAAGGTTATGGATTGTCTTTTTGCTCAACTTTTGAACAATTGCAGTCCAGTCCTTACACCTCTAATTAACTCTAATTAGCATATAGTTAACTCCAAATTAATTCTGATTAATTCTTAATTAATTATTACTATTTCCAGTTAATATATTAATAATTCATTTATATCTCTCCTATAATTAATCCAAGCTATTTTCTGGTTATGAGGGCAACCCAAAAAGAACTTTACTTTTATTCTACAAATTATATCAATTTAGTTAAAAGCTTAGACACCTTAATCCAACATAAATATGTTCATCTAAAGAACCTCCTTCAATCATCTTGATATTGAACAACTGTTTCTTTAGGTGCAATTTGTTTGGTAGGCTCTTAGGCATCAATAATTGCTCTAACTTTAACCATAAAGTTGCCATTGTAGTTTCTTTCAAAACATCTTGCAAAACATCATTTGACAAATGCAAGCGAATATGAGATTGAGCTTTTAAATATTTCGTCTCTTTATCTTCTTCCGTCCATGAGACGTGCATCTTATCGAAACCTAAAGTGTCTTGTGTAAATCCATCTAAATAAGAACATCTTTCATATTTACTTACCATGGTAGAAACCTAGTGTTCCGATCCAATAATGAAATATCGTATTTCATCAAATACATGATCAAGCAGTTGATAAAATAATCCAAACAAACTAATATTAAGCCTAGAAGCTCTGATACCAGTTGTAGTAAACAATAAGGGTAATGATGCACTAAAACAAAAAAGCCTTAACACATCAAACAACTCAAAAATCTAAATCACAAGACCAATATCAGTTTAAGAGAAATAGGACTAATATATCAAACAACAATAAATCACATGCAATGAAAATACAAAGCAAAACAGTAAATCAGAGAGACACAAAATTTTACATGGAAAACCTAAATCGGGAACAAAGGAAGCCGAGAACCAATCCATTAAAATATTACAGTGTTTACAGAGCTTGATCAACGATATTACAATGGGCTATAATGATTTTATGATTAAGGGATGAAACCTTAGAAACATATCTCCAAAAAGGGAAGAAAAATAGATGGCTTCAACAGTTGTCTTCAAAACCTCTCTTTATAAAACTTGCATTCAATTAAGGCTAAAAGGGTAAAGGTTTTGCTAATTTGGAAAATTTGACCCTTCAAGAATAAAGAAATTACATTTAAGGAACACATCATTTTTAGACCCGATACACCCATTTTAGACCTAGTGTCCTTTTTAGACCTGATATACACTGTTTTAGACCTAGTGTCCTTTTTAGACCTGATGCAACCAAATTAGAACTGGATTGTTGGAAAGACAATATAGCCCTTGAACTAAGCAAAACTTTTCAATTTTGGAAAACATATTTCCATAGAGCAAAATACTTGTTTGAACCGTACCGAATCGGAGCCGGAGCCAATTAGAAACTGAATATGTAATTCAGTTAGGTTCTTGGTAACTTTATCTTCATAAATTCAGTTTATAGTTTTTTGTTTCCAGAACGAGGCTTAGACATTACCATATTAACTAGTTTGGATAATTTCCTATGAATGGATCATTAGCATTAATCGAAAATATACATAACAATACAATGGTCCATGTAACGAGTAGCTAACTAGGAATATACTTCTAGGCTTCTAGTAAAATGGGCGTAAACTATATCTATCTTTTTTAATAAAAGAATGGTTACTCTATGCCACATGTCATTTTCTCATAATTTTGATTTTTCATTCTTCTATTCTATAAAAATGATATGTGTAATTTTTTTTATTCTATTTTCAAATTTAAATAAAATCATGTTGATTAGCATTTACAGAACAAATCAAATTCGTAATACCTAATTAATTGGAATTGATTGTAATCTCTTAAAAATCATCCGTTTGACAATTATCACATTCTATTAAAATTCAAAACTCAAACTAATCCATAAATCACGCTTACCTTATTGCACTCATGTAACAAAGATTCATCTAGGTACACATTCAATAAATCTAATACCGTACTTTATCATTCATTTTTATACATTGAAAGAGCAACATGAAATAGAAGCTATGGAGGAGAAGAAAAATCATCAGTTTCACCCATCATGTTCTGCTTCGTATTCTTCTGCATATTGATTTTAGTTTTCTCATTAGGTTCGTAGTAGAACTGCAAACCAAATCAATTTCAAATGGATCTCCATCTATGTTTTCGGTATGTTTTTCTAAAAAAAAAATATGTCTTATATAGAACGAGCATCTGTCGATTCTTAGTACTTCTCTATGAAGTCCAAATCATTGAGTTTGTATCTCTGTATATGTAAGTTTTATCTTTTAATTTCTATATATTTTTTTAAAAAAAAGTTATTGTAGTTAATGTTTGTACATGTTTGTTTTGTTTCAGGCATGAGAATTTGCATTCCTTGAAGTAATTCAGATTTTTGTTGAAAAAAAAGATTGAGAAGGTTGTGTATATTTACTTCATTTTTGTCTGCATCTATATATGCATACCTTTTAATGAAAATTTATGATAAGAGGGTCTGCAATTAAGATTTCATACTTAAAGGGATGGTTCATAAATTTTTACAATGCTTGTTTTATTTTTCTGGAAAATGATGAGTATGCTATGTACAAGTCAAGTTAGTTCGCAACCTTATAGTGGTAGTTAGCTTACTATTTCTTTTCTAATTTGATTCTTAAATATAATTGATTTGGATCTTTTGTTTCTTTTTTAATACATATAGAAAAACAATGTTTATATTTTTGGTTTTATTAATTGCTGGTGTGGATTATGTGCTAATAATTTATAGATTTCTGTAGGAGATTTCGTTTGTTATTAAAGATATACATTTTTGTCTTTTTAGTTTTATCGTAGTGAAAATGTCATTATGGTTACGTTTTTTCAGATAGAATTTTAAGTTTTAGAAAATGTCATGATATTGTAATTCAACTATTTTTTTGTACTTGAACGTTTGTCCCACTTACTATGCTAATGTGGGATATCTATGCAATCAATTCAAAGAGACCTAATTTGAATAATATTTGATAATATGTACAAGCAAACCAATTATACCTCGAATGAATATGAGATTATTGTTTTTCCATGACAATGAATATTGATTTAGCTATATACTACAATAAATAACCTACTTATATTATTGCTAATTGTTTACACAAAAATCACATGTTAAAAACTATATGATATAAGTGGGTTTCTTGACTAAATGAAATTTTATATTTTTAATCCTTGATCTTCTTTCTTTGTTTAATAATCTACCCAAAAAATCCCCAAAAATCTGTTTTATGTATTGTTTTTTTTTTTTGGAATTTCCATAGTCCCTCTAGTTTCGTGATTGGTCATTTGGTTCATTGAAATAAATTATAAATATTTTTGCATTTTTTGTCCACGTTTTAATTCTTTTTAATAAATTTGTCCAAATTGCTAAAACATCTTCCAATTACATTTTTAAATAAAACAATAATGTATTCTTAATTTTAACAGGAAACAATGTATTTTTTAGTTTTTTTCTTCAGAAACATCAATATATTTATATTTTTAAAGCAAAACAAAAACACACTTTCCATTTTAACTTAAAAGAATAACGTATTTTGATTTATATATCAAAATATTACCAAATACCTTTTATAAAAGGTAATTTGTTTTTTTTTAAACTTCAAATATTTTTTTTATCATAGGTGTACTTGCTTCTAATTTTACTTAGGCTAATAATTTTGGTTTTTAGCTTTATGATTAAGAAAACTTTTGGCTCCACCTTTAAAAAAAAGAACTATATGTTTCAAATTATTATGTAAAATTAATGAAGAAACACCCATTAATACATAAGAATAAATAGTGTCTAATTTTTTTAAAACCAATATGGTTTTATTATTCTAGATTTTTCTGTTTTGGTGTGAACAGTAAGGAACACCACAAGATCTTGCCACTCTCACCGGAGGTCAAGTGGGTTCTTGATGTTTCATAATTGTTCTTGGTATTTTAAATAGAGATGGCAAAATTGGCAAGAGTAACATTTTAAAACAGGTCAGATTAGTTGATTGTTAAAAAAATATTTAATTTTGAATTATTGACAAATGCATGAAATAACAACATGCTTTTATTTATTTGTTTATCATAGCACCCTTCTTTTATTTCTTGCTTTTTCATCATTGTACTTTGAAATTCTACCAATTTATAGGCTTATAGCAATGTCAACCAAATACTACATAACATCGTTTTTTCTTGGGAAAACTGCAATAAAGTCCCTATGTATTGCCCGTATAATCGATTTAGCCCATATATATATATATATATATATATATATATATATATATATATATATATATATATATATATATATATATATATATATATATATATATATTTTCAATTTAGTCCTAAATACCGGTAAACGTAATCAAAACGGGATATTTAATGGGTTAGCCGGTATCTAACTGATATGGCAGCTTACGTGTAAGTCATCATGTTAAATAACATCCTACGTGCCATTTAAGAGGGCTAAATCAATGAATCGAGCTCTTCTTCTTCATTCGACAGTCAAAGGAGCGAACGATTAGGGCAAATTGGAAACAGGAAATCGATGTCGAGTTCGTCAAGCACCAACATCAGAATGTGCTATTGTGGAGATAGGGCTGGAATGTGGACATCATGGACTCGAAAGAATCCAGGTCGGAGGTTTTTTGGTTGCCCAAATTACATGGTATAGAATCTTCAAATCTCACTCAGATTCTTCTATTTCACTAAATTACCATTCTTCTATGTTAAAAACATGCATCTTTCTATGTTATGTAGGATGAAGAGAAGGACTGTGGATATTTTCGTTGGATTGATCCACCACTATTGAATAAGTGGTATAAAGAAAGAATGTGTGTAGCTATTCCTTTCAGTAACCCTGTTAATGAAGGTGGAATACCTATTGATGGCCCTATTGCCCCTGTGAATGTTGATATCCCTATTGGCCCTGTGAATGCTCTTGAACCTGATAATCAAATTGCAATGCGTGAGAATAAACATGTGCCTGGTAATGAATTTGGATTCTGCAAGTGGATGATGGTTTGTTTCGTTTGTTTCATTGTAGGGATGATGTATGGTTAGTTTAGTGTAAGTTGTAGGGTATTATGGTATGGTAGGGATGATGTAATCTTTTGGTTTGTTATCATGATGTAATGGATAAATGTTCTTGTGGATCATGTAATGTTTTGGTTAATGAAATGGCAATATGTTATTATGGTTTGCATAAATGGTGTACACTTGAAAAATATAACCATGAAGTATGCACACTTGTGGCTAAAATAATTAAACAAAAAACTCCAATATGTCATTACCAACCATGTTAAGGGCATTCACAATGTTTCAATGTGTTTACAAAAGATGTACACAATATGGCTATCAGTAATTTAAGGGCATTCACAAAAGATGTACAAAAGTAGCATTCACAAAAGATACACAAAAATAGCATTCACAAAAGATGTACCAAAATACCCTTACTACCCTTAACACCCTAACACCCTAATCCAACTCCAATGTTGAATTTGCAGAAGTCCCAACACATCCCATCTTCTTCAGCTTGGTTTTAACAATCCTCTCAGAGGGCCTTCTTCTTTTTACAATCCTAAGGTGTACTGGTAATTCCTGGGTGTCATTAATGCCTTCTTCTTCTTCTTCTTCTTCACTTTCTGGTTGTGTATCAGGGATAATTTCTTCAGCCCCATCTTGTGTCTCAGTCTGAGGTGGATACTCCTCTTCCTGTAAAACATCAAGCAATTAATAACATAAATGAATGTTAACATTAAGGTAATATAGAGGGTTTACCATAGACATAGGAAGAACTTGTTCAATAGTGTCATTGTAATCATTGAGCTGTTTCATATGTGAATCTGTCAGACTAAGTGTATTTTTAATTTCTTCAATTGAATACCCTGATAGTTTCAAATCTTGCATTGCCTTCCATAAATGGACTAAATATTTTTCAGGAATAGTGTCATCCTCATTTTCAACTCCACCACCTTCAATTCCAACAGATGTCTTACTGCCCCTACCACCTCTTTTACTACCCCTACCACCTCTTTTACCACCTGTGTTACCCACTGCACCACCTCTTGCACCACATATGTTGCCCACTGCACCACCTCTCTTACCTCCTGTACCACCTCTACTACCCCTTGCACCACCTCTACTACCTCTGACACCACCTCTTACATCACCTCTAGTCCAATGACTGATATCAGGATCCAGTCTTGGTCTACCCATTTTTTTCTTGGGTTTGGGTTCTGGTGTGACCTTGGGATTCTTACAGGATGCCTTGTTATGACCCCTTTAAAGATAGTTTTTGCATTGGACTGTCCTTCCTATTCCAGTAACCTTCATCTTATTTTGGGAGTATTTGTATTGAGATTCAGTGGCATGCCTCTTTCTTTTAAGAGTTGGTATCCCTGGCATTCTTCTAGCTAAAGGGGGTAGAGGCTTTATGTATGATGTTCTAGGCCATAAATTTCTACCATTCACAGGTAGTATATTGTTTGCATATATGGCCTTGAACCTGTCCACATTAAACCACTCACTTATGAATTGAACAGGATCTTGTCCATTGAATAATATTGCACACTGTGCATGTACACATGGAATTCCTGAGATATCCCAAAGCCTACAGCTGCACACTTTGCTTTGTAAGTCAACCACGTACCCTTCTAATCCATTCCTGGCTTCAAAAATAGATGGTCCACTTCGATTCACATTCCAATTCCTACAATGACATTACTAAATGAAATCAGAACAATGAAATTAGAATAATGATGATCAGGAACAAGAAAAATGCTAAGACAAACCTCAAATCCTCTCCAAACTTGTTCATTTTCTTGATAGCAGCTGGAAAAACCACTGATTCCCACTTTTCTGCCTTTTGTAACATATGGTAGAACCTATCCATCATGTACAACCTAATTTCTTCAAACATTGCTAGAAGGGGTTTCTTTCTAGCATCCAATATGATGGCGTTGAAGCACTCTGCAATGCCATTTTCAACTGCCTCGCATGCTACATCAGTCCTAAAAAATGCCCTGCACCATGTCTGAGGATGTCTTGCAAGCAAATGTTCATAAGCAATGGGAATAACCTCTTTTATATCATCCATTTTCCTCAGAAATTCACTCTCTACATTTGAAAAGGAAGCTGCCCAGAACATATTCTTGAACTCCACTCAAGAATAGGTCTTCCTAAAGTTAGCATATATGTGTCTTGCACACTGTCTATGCTCCACATTTGGTAGTACTTCCTTGGTTGCTTCAAGCAATCCCTACAATGTAATGAATACATAAACATATAAGATGATGGTAAGGAAAAACAATAAATATGCTAAGAAATTACAAACCTTATGTTGATCAGATATTACAGTAAACCCTCCTCCATCTAGCAGATTAAGATCCTCTGTGAGCAGTTCCAGAAACCATTTCCAATTAGCTTTGTTTTCAATGTCAACAACTGCCCAAGCAATTGGATAAACTTGGTTGTTTGCATCCCTCCCTATTGCTGTGAGTAATTCTCCTTTACATGTCCCTTTCAAGAAAGATCCATCTAGACCAATTACCCTACGACACCCTATTTTCCAACCTTCCTTGATTGCTTTAAAACACAAATACATCCTGTGAAAGTATGTTGTTTGATCTGGATTTACAGTGACACCCACTTGGACAGTGCTACCAGGATTTGACCTTAGTAACTCATGACAATAGTCCCACACCCTAGCATAATGTTCTGTGAGTTTACCATCTATAATGGTCATTGCTCTACACCTTGTTCTGTAAGCCTTAGACCAAGACACACCACAATGAAATTTGGTCCTAATTATTGATTGCATCTGCTTACACTTCAAGTTAGGTTTCATTATCAACTCCTTCAAAAGGTGTCTTGCTAGCCATCTGGGACTCAGTAAATTTGAAATATTGAAATTTCTAACACATTTGTGCTCATCAACTAAGGTTTTAATCTGAAAAGACTTTACTTGAGTCATCCAGGAAGCATGAACTCTGAATGGACAGGGTTGAGACTTCATCTTAGAACCACATTTGGCAGTTAATCTCACAGTGTCACACTTCGCAAATTTAATGTTATACCCTGACTTAATAGCATAATTAGTGAGACATTGTTGCAACTGATGTGGTGATTCATACCTTTCACCAAGAAGGGGCTTCATCTTATTCCACTTAACTGATAGGTCATGAATGGGGAAGCCTGCACCAACCGCATCTCCCAAATCAAGATCATTAGCCCCTGCTGTGTCATCGATTTCCTCTTCTGAACCAAACCCTTCTTCATCTTCATCAACTAAGTTATTGTCTTCATCGACTTCATTATCTTCATAATCGGAACTGAAGTTAAGGAAAGCATCATTGCATCTCTCTTTACCTTGTGTCTTGAAATCATCTTCTTCCATTTCCACATCTATGTGCTCAGTATCGAGCACCTCCTCATCATCTTCGTATTCTTCATAGTCGTATTCTTCAGATGACTCATGGTGAACTTCATCTGATTCGACAGCCATTGGGTTTTACCTTCGTTTCTCTCAGTAAAACCCTACTTTCTTCGTGTTTCACTCTGTAAAAACCCTAACTTTTTCTCTCAATTGATTTACCAGACGTCGAATGCAGTGGAAATGGAAGGGTAAAACTCTCTTGTACACGTAAGGTGCCACATGCGCATAGTACCGGTTAGATACCGGCTAACCCATTAAATATCCCGTGTTGATTACGTTTACCGGTATTTAGGACTAAATTGCAAAAAAAAAAAATATAGGGGCAAAATCGATTATACGGGCAATACATAGGGACTTTATTGCAGTTTTCCCTTTTTTCTTTACACAATCAAACAAAAATTCTATATTTGTAATGAGTCGAGATCTATGCAAATAGAGTTGTGAGAAGGGTTGTAATAGCAGCAGACTCGGTGGAGAAAGTCGCATTGGAGCAGACCGATGGTGCATTGTGGTGACCTAGAGGACGGATTGTAGTGATGGAGGAAAATGGAATGAAATGAAATGGAACTCAAGAACACATTTCCCCTGTATTATACTTTCATTCTCTTTCATTTCACTACTTAAATTAACTCGAGAAGAGGGTGTTAGTCAAGACATTACAAGTAAATGTATGAGTGAGTATAAGTATGTTTTGAATGCGAGAAAAGCCTTTGCCAAAAGAAACATCAAAATGATGAAAGCAATTTAAAATCTGGGGATAACCCTTGAAGATTTCACTGATAGGATCAAGCTATTAGCCAAAATTTAAAGAAATCAAAGGTATGGTTTACATTATGAGCCCTAGTTGTGGTTTTCTTGGAATTTAGCTCAAATGGGTATTGAATCTTGGATTCTTGTTGAAATTATTCGATGGCTTATATTGTACGTACAGTTAATTTTTTTTTTGAACCGGCAAATACAAATATTATAATCTACTTCTAAACTAACACCTAATTCCACCTATGTCCACCACGGGACTTGAACCCTCAACCTCAAGGAGGTAGGGCACCACCTGATACCGCTGGGCTAGAAGCCCTTTGGTGTACGTACAGTTAATTTAGTGTGTGTACTTAGTCATTGTTTAGTGGCAGCGTTGGAATATAACAACCCATGGCATAGACGTGGCCAATGTCTGGATATTATATAAAAATCTAGTGAATTACACGGTTAGATGGGATGGTAAGAAAAGTCGTGGCCTATGTGAGGAATTCATTTATTTGATTAAAGTGAGTTTTGGGGCTCTCATATCATACATTTCTTGTCTCACGCCTTCCAAAACCCGATATCATTGATCAAAAATATAATGTCACGTTTTTATGTGTTATCTTATGAATCTAAACAAAGCCATTGCAACAAACACGAGTGAATCATATTACAATAACTTTTTTTTAAACTTACAACAGTTTCAATATTTTAGTAGTACATCTTGAAATGAAAGGAATTGTGAATGGGAATCTACGACGATTAGGCTTACAGTTTTCATCGTAAAGAATATGTTTCTTGGGCCGGAAGAGGTACCTTGAAGTATATGTTGAGAAAAAGACGTCTTTTAACAAAGAAAATTGTAGTGTAGCGTATAGGATGACTGGTAAAGCAGAAAAAAACGTAATAAGGATCGGTATCCATTTCAATTTGTTGTGGTATAGCACGAAGAAGCTAACACTAAAAGCAATCATCATGGTTGTTATCGAGAGGAACAGTGTTGCTAGACCTACCATCAGCTTTTTGGGCAATGACTCCAGGAAATCACGTTCGGCATAGCGTGATGTGAGTATGGATAAGAACATGAGGATCGAAGCTGATGAAGAGAACAAAGAAATGGCATCTGCCACTACGAAAATGATAAAGGCTACATTTTCAAAAAAGATTGGGATACCATCGTCCTGATTGTATCCACCTGGAACTGTGAAAGCTGCAGCAAATACAATGGTGGCAATAAGTGCAGCAACCACCATACATTGACTAGCGGTATCTTTCATCCAGTCCTCTCCTTGTTTGACTAGATCTTTGTGTTCCTTGGTGAATAACTCGTGTGGTGTTAGTCCATCTTTGTTCCTCCGTTCCCGATAAGAAGGAGGGATCATCTCCTCCACTTCCTGTGACAACGTGTTATATGTCAATGTTAGATGAAATGAAGTGATGTAAGGGAAAAAGAAAGAAAGATGGTGTGGGGAAGAAAACATATATACCTTGAACCATAATAGTTCTCGTTGCATTTGAAAAGCAACTCCAGACACATCCTCAAGTCGCCTTTTCTTAGCAGTCTTCCCAACTAAATGCAACATAATGTTGTCATTTTTATCTTTGAGAGGAGTTATGAGATCCTTCATTGAGCCTATCTCATACAATAAGTTGTAGATACCCTCATGACGATGTTTGACAGCAGTGTGAAATATGCTTTGATTGTCATCGTTTACTTTCCATATTATATCAGGATACAGGCGGATGAGCTCAATAATAAATCTAGTATTTCCCATTTCAGCAGCAACAAACAGTATTCGAGAAGAGTACTTTGGTCTTGCATTTTCCTGCAAGGCTACATTCGTATTGTTTGTAGTTATAGCAGCATGCTCTTTGTTTATTTTCCCACTTTCATCATGCTTTTTGGCAATATTTTCTGAAATTTTTTGTAGTAGTTGTAGAGTTTGTTCCGTGTCAGAAGCTGGCTTGTCATCTTTCTTAATGGGATCAGGCTGCCCTCTGATTATGTTATCGATATCCTTTGTAGGTTTCTCCGCAATTGCTCCCCAAATAATTTTTAGTAGTTCCAATGCATTAGCTTTACTTTCCATTTTAGAAGGTCCCACCTTTGGATGAAAGCAAGTCCAAACTGAAAGCAACAATGGGAAAAAAAATCCAAAGGTGGGCTTAGCTAATCTCAATTATCAATATTTTGTTTCTAGCTTTTTAGACTGAAGATGTATGTATAATCAATATCAAGGTGTTGAGATCTTTACCCCAATCGATAGTTCTCCTGATGATATTGGATTCTGTTGCAGCAAATACATCAGTCTTTTTAGCCAAAACTCCAAGTACAGTATTCCCACTAAGACCAAGATCTGGGTACGCTTTCACTATCTCCAGTGCAATATCTAAAAAAGATTCAACAATCACTTTGTGAGGGAATACTACTATGACAAAAGAGTAGATACAAAGAACACTGATGAATAAGAATGATGATAAACAACATAGAGAATTTGTAGGTGTAATAACTAAATGCTAAAACGCTTACCAAACATATCAGTCTCCACACATTTCTGAAGAAGCCAACCACGGTTCTGAGGTGTCCAACAATCATCACGCAAATTCTGGGAATATCCATACAAACACTTGGCTGTCTCATAATGTCCAAACAAGGCAGCCATATATAATGGCGTCATTTCTCCACTACCAGTGATTGCCACCAAAGCCCTGTTGCTTTTAACCATAATCTCAACCATTTTAACATTGCCAGCTGCAGCAGCTAAACACAGGGCAGTGTTGGAACTGGTATTTTTAAGTTCCAGGTCCTCCTTTTTCATCTTAGTTATCAGATTTTTCACAAATTCTTCAACCTGTTCGGTGCTTTTCGCCGATGCAGCAACATGAAGTGCTGTTTCATTATTTGCAGTGATACTATACCTAACTAACTCTGGCTTTTTATTAAGAATTTCTTCAGCAGCTGTCCAATCGCCTGTAATTGATGCTTCATATAGAGGGATAGCGATTTTGATGTACTCTTTTCTAGTTCCTTTAAAATAAAATCCAATGCAAAGTTAGCACCAATTCATCCAGGGACAATATTTGTAATATTCTTTAACTTTTCACCATAATTAAGCATCAATTATAGTTGCGTACAGCCACTTTGAATCCTTCAATTTGGTTTAAGAACACTATAATTTTGGTTTTACTTGTTGGCGCCTCTGAATATTGAAACTAACATATTATATTCGTCCCTACCAAACCTAAAATGACTATGTTGCCCTTACCAATTTCTTTTTGTAAATTTATTTATTTATTATTAATATAAATTTAAAAAAGAGTAAAAACCAAAATAGACCTCATTTTTTTAAAATGCGAATAAGAAAAAATTAATAATAAACAAAAAGAAAAAAGAAACTGATAAGGCAATATATTATTCTCATTTCAGGTTTGGTTGGAATGAAAAACAAAACATAGAGATGAAACTAAGATTGGGTCAAACCACCGAGACAATTTGTGTGATTTACATTTACTCTATTATATATGACAACTGAAAATCAATTCATCTTAACGTAGACTTTCTAGGAAACAGCACTGGCGTTTCACTGTTGATTTTACCCTTGTTTGCAAAATTTGCTATTTTCCGGAAGGAAACCGAAAGGAAGCTATAAACACTTATCTCAACCATGGGCAAGCGTGGGGCAATAGTGCAAAGGAATCGTTTCTTTTTATAAAATGTGGTGTTAAACAGCAGTAGACGAAGTAAAGAGTAAAATGGGTAGCAGAATTTACCGGTAAGTAGATCTGGAATAGGTTTTGTAGGATCATGTGAAGCAACCGAAATTCTGATATCCTGCGGATCAGGGGTTAAGGTTGGGGCTAATTGCCCATCTGTTTGCGCCATCTGCACAGGGACAACATTCATGATTATAACCCTACAAATTCCTTCACACCATGACTGGAAAAACAGAGGATTTCGTGCAACTAACAATACCTCTGCGTCAGCGAGCGATTATTACGTATGAATTAATGAATTTGAAAGAAGACTTGAGATTGATTATTTGAACATGCATACAGTATACTATGATTTATATACACCCTCTCTTCCATAAGTCAACGTTGTAAGTCTTTAAAAATTAATTCTTCTGCCGATCAATAATTAGAGACAATTAGCTGTTCTAAATAAGAAAAAATAATGACAGCTGATAATAGCCAAAAAAAAAAAAAAAAAAAAATCAAATATTTCTATAATTTTATTTTAGGGTAAATTATACGAATGGTCCCTGTGGTTTAGGTTCATAACAACTTTTTTTTAACATGGAGCATCCTTATAATTTGTTTTTGTTTCG